TCAGTCCTGTGGAGCCTTCAGAACAAAACAATTTAGTTAATCTAATACCCTGTCTGCAATGATTGTCAGGTCAAATACATAGGTCAGAGTAGTAGAACAGGGGCAGTCCGATTAGTGGAGCATTAAAACCTAGCAAAATCTAGATTGATTGACCCGAATAAGAAATCTAGAGAATAATTCAGCTGTACCACTCATTACATGCAATTACACACATCCATACAATAGGATGATGGGATAAGATGACAGTTTTATAATCTAATATAACAACAGGGTGAATGGAAGGAGAGATTGATGTCAACGGAAGCTTTGTTTATCGAATCAACTGAGGGAGAACACGTGTAATAGGGATGATTCAACACCTGTTCACACAGATATCTGGAAAATTCTACTACCCCTACTACAATGAATAGGAGAGAATAAAGAAAACTACAAAAATCAAGTTTCGAAGTTGTGTGATCATAATTGGTGAAATGATTATGAACCGCAATAAATTGTGTTCGAAACCTTGTAATCCAGTAAATAATGTTGTTTCTTCACTGTGTGATATATATCCATACTTTAGCATAGAGGGATTAAGTATGGTGATCCCCAATCATATTTTAGCTCTACCAATTTTTCATTTTTTCATTTTTGTCTATTTAGTTTGTATACACTTCCTTATTACGTCAATTGTTACTATTACTACTCTCACTTCTAACTGTCCCCGGGATTAGTTCACTTGTTCCACTTGTCATTCTAAATCAATTCCTTTTTACAACATTAAATTCTATGCTATTAAATTTCACACAATATTACGTAACATTTTTATTTTATTCGATTTGTCTACTAATCTTATAATTGCACACCTTTTTCAAGTTCTATCCATTCTATGAATTATTCTATATATGACATTAGTTTGCTTTGCCACTTGACATATAACACTTTAGTTTTAATTGCATTTCATATTATTATTATTATTTTATGCGTTCTAAGATTGGACACTAATTAGTAACTAGTGTAATGTGCGTCTAGTCCTTGATGCTGGTGCAGACTGAATTCTACCAGTCATGTTGACAATGTGGCCACCATCAAGCTAGGTGGCTGGTCAACACTGTGCACTTTGAATTGTTGACAATAGATTCTTGGAGACAATCAGCCACAGGAAGCTCCGCCTGGCCTGTGTTTAGTGCTAGTTGGTACTCAGCAGTCACCTTCAAGGAACTCATGTCAGCACCGTGATGGTAAGTCACCTAGCACATGGTGGCTACATTGCAAACTGGAATGCCAGAATTCAGTCTGCACCAAACAAAGGACTAGATACACTACACTAGTTACTAACCAGTGTCCAATCAAAATATCCAATACATTCCTACTGGAGGTCATTCGTGAGCCTGAACAGCTCCATGGTAGCGTCTGTGACTGACTGCAGCACTGGGTGATGCTGTGGTAAGAGATGGTTGCTGGCCAAATTGGTTGACAGTAATTGAGGTCAAAGGTCAAGGTGGACAGGCGGTTACAGTTAACATATAGATGAACTGACACAGCCACAAGAGATGCAAGGTTAACCTTGTGTGATAAACAACCAATCAACAGACTATATTTTCTACTAACATTGACCTACAATAATGTACATAAAAATCTATAAATACGTGTTGATTTTTCGTAATAAACGATCTGTTGCCTGGCCCTTGTCTTCTGTTGTTACAATGCCAGTTCGAATCTCAAAAGTGATATGACTTCCTTCAAGGTGACTGAAGATGCACCCTGCTGACTGGTGAGTGCTAACTGGCACGAAACCTAGGCCAGACGGGGTTTCCTGTGGCCGATTACCTCCAACCATCTAATATTAAACTATATTATTTATCTACTCAAAAGTTAGCTATATATCCTTTTAGCATTATTTAAATCTTACAACAAAATCGAATAGTATAACTATTTAATTCAATTTCAGATTTTCTCGTCGATTGATTGGACCGAAGTGCTCGGTCTCAGGTTGACATGTTGGTTTCTTATGCAAATGCTTTGACGATGTTTGGGCATGTAACTTGAATTTAATTGGCTGGTGGTGAGACCGAGCACTTCAGTCCAATGAATCGACGAGAAAATCTAAAATTCAACTAAATAATTAATATGACCCATTGCCCAAGAGATGGCTCTCGTGGCCCAAGTGATCTAGGGGATAACGCTTTGGCTGGCGTTTAGAACTACGGGCACTGAGTTCCCGCCTCGGTGGTGGGAACATCATCACTCACTGGGGAATGCAGGTATATTCAGTTAACTGACGAGTCCCGAATAGGACGAAACGTGCATCCAGCTGGATCCCACTGCTAGTCACCATCCACCAATTAACTTTGAATAACATAACACTTTCACACTGCAATGCGTGTATGATTGATAGACTGTGAACAGACAGTTCTGGTTATAGTGATAACAAAACAGGAAAATATTCTAATCTAGAGTAGTGGAATTACAGCTAACAAGTTTTGTCATAAACCTTTTCTAAGGGAAAACTGAAATTCATTTTTTTTCGTTTTGAGGAATATAAGAGTAGACTATAATTCCACATTATATAATTTCACTTGATATAACACAGTGATACAGTATTAATAACTGGATGACATTTCGTCGTAGTCTGGGTCTCTTCATCAGCACACACTCATCCCCACCGCGTTTCGAACCCAGAACACTCCGGTTACAATTGACGTCAATGTTTACATCCCAAATCGGGGTCATGAGAGAAAACAACAGCAACAAGGCCTAACCTTGAAGAACTCAACAACCAGTCACAGCAGACTCGGCGTGGGCTGATACGATTCGCAGATATATCAACGGAATGTCTAAGGAACGACAACAAATAGATGACAAAATAACCTTGAGCAAGAAAACAACCAATCAGAACACGTTGTTTCTCTGCTAACAATAACAAATAATAAAGTACATAAAAATCCATAAATATCTGTTGATTTTCTCAATAAATGATCTGTTGCCTAGCCCTTGTCTTCTGTCGTCATATATATATATATATATATATATAAATGTAATATATATATAGCTCAACTAGCAAGTCACAGAAGATGACAGTTACTCACCCGTGACATTGACTGGAGGTTGCTAGAATCAGCTAGTTAATTGTTTTGATGACTTCCAACCTCTTAATTCCACCCATCCTCCACCTATACCTAGAACCAATGGACTAAAATAACCACTTGATTGGTAACATTATGATGTAAATAGCTATCGTTTAGTGTAGAGTCAGCCGATGTTGAGAACTAATTGAAAATCAATATATTTCTTTGACCAGTTTGCAGTTTTTTTGTAAATGCATAAATGGGAATTTAGAAATTACTATGAATTTTGTCTTTTCAATCTTGTGAGTTCTAATCAGTATATTTTATCGTTATCTGCGATTACGTAATTATCACTGACTTTTTGCCAATCTAACAATAAATTTACTCATTATTTTTACGAGAAACTTAAAAAACTTTTTTCTTCCTTTACACTTCCAGTGGAACATAGGGCTTCCAGCTAGAGACTAGAAGTTTCGGTAACAGTGGTGTTTATTTTTATGGGATGAGATTTCTAGCCTCATGCTCAACCTTCGCTCTTTACCAGTCTTATTACAGGCTTAGCGAGGTAAAGGAGTGCGTCGGTGGCTGTGGATCGAACCCCGGACCACATGTATGGATTAAATCAGACGACACGAGTTGACAACCAATAACCATCCATTCCGCATGACAGCTCACACCTGGATACACCTCATATGTCAGTGTGACACAGACACTGATGGACGTGTGTCCACACGCATGATACTTGTTAGTGGGCACGTTTTTCAGTGTGGGAGGGAGAGGAGTGTTGGCACGTATGAGTGGGAAGTGTGGATGGTTCCGAAAGCCTCCCTCTGGGGTTGGGATAAACTCCAGAAGACCTAAAGTCCACCACTTTAGCCGCTTAGTCATCCCAGCCAGATGATCTTTACTGTTTTAATACATATATTGATAAGATAGCAGGTGGTGACTAATTTCGTACATCTAGTTCTTCGTTTGACGCAGACTGAATTCTGTCAGTCACTTTTGCAATGTAGCCACTATGTGCTAGGTGACTCGCCATTATCGTACACTGTGGATTGTTGTTAGATGTTTACACGCGATTGGCAGGAAGTCTTTAACCAAGGTTTGTCGCTTATTGGCACTTATCAGCAGGGCGTGTCTACAGTCTGGAAGGAATTCATGTTGCCTGTGAACTTTTTTTGAGCTTGTAATTGACATTCTGTAGGATTGTTATGGATGCTTTGATTGGACACTAGGTGGCAACTAGTTCATGCTTCTGATACTTGGTGTTGCTAGGGTGTGAAATGCATCAGGAGGGACATAAATTCATCCAAGATTTCAGATACGCCTTGCTGACAGGTGCCAGCAAGCACGAAAATTAGGTCTATGGCACCCTAACGATAACATTAAACTGTCTAACAGCGGTATATATAATCTAATCGTCCATATGTTTCATTTCCCTATGACTGTCTTATAATATTTCTTACTGAAGGATTGTTTCCAGATGTTAAACAAAATATTGCTTACAGCTGACTAGAACCAAAGAAATAAAATGGATTCATGTTATGCTATACTAATGTTTATTCTACCTTCTGTTCAAACTAGTTAATTGTTTACAAAAGTTAATTTGTAAAGATTTAATTTATATCAATTCAGAGGATTGGGAAACTGTTTCGTCCCACTTCGGGACTCTTCATCAGCACACATCCATCGGATAAACACTGATATCACAGGCTGGTAGAATTTGAAACTGACAGACTATTGAATCTCATCTCAAGGACTGAATGATCTATCAGCCTGCCTAGTAACCTGAAAGTCCTGGATTCTAACCTCAGTGGACTGAGTGAGTACTGATGATGAGTCCCAAACTGGGACAAAACAGTCGTCCAGTCTTCCACAATGGTTTTCAATGATTCTCTAACTAGCATCAATCCGTAATTAAAACTTAATTCATTTATTTTAATACTCTTTTAGAAAAAGAAAGAAGAAGAAAAAAAGGAGAAAAAGAACAAGCTAACAATTCCATTTTTTTTATCAAATGAAAGATCATCAATATCAAAAAGCATGTCAAGTATACTCTAAAATTCGTTTCATCTGTTGTCTTCTATTGGGATTTATCACGGGTGTATTTCTCCTCTGTATTTATGATGCATTTGAAGAGATTCTATTGTATCAATATCAAAATTATAATTCTATAAAGAATATTCAACATAAAAATTATAAGGATAAAAATTATTTATCTGATATATTAACAGAATATATTATTAATAATATTAATGAAAAAAGTAATCTTGTTAACAATAAGAAAAACAATCTGTTTACATCAACTTTACACGAGAATAAAAAGAACAATAATGTTAATCAATTGTTGAGATCAACAGTCAAGCATACAACAAATATGACTACTACAGCTCCTCCTATTGTCATTAATTCTACTCTAAAAGTTCATAGTAAGTTTTTAATTTATTTATTTATATATAATAAGATGTGTCAGTGTGATAATACTTGTCAACCACACCTCACGTGGTCCAGGGGCCGATGTTCAACCGACAGACGTACTCTGAAACTTCGCTAAGCGGGTAGTGTGAGCTAGTAAAGAGGGAAGGCTGGGCTTGAGGCTCTATGCTCCACTCTCAACGTGAAGAAATAAAATAATATAAATAATAACAATATATTATCATTATTATTATTGTGCCCTTGGGTTCCTAGTGGAACATACGGCTTCAACTGCACGCCTCCACTTGCTTCTGTCTTCTGCTGTACTGTACTTTTCACTTGCAGCCATGTTAATCCATACTGTTTCAACTCCTCTTCACACGATCTCCTCCATGTCACCCTTGAATGTTCCACTCGCCACTTCCCTTTCGGGTTCCACTCGAGCTATGGCCTGACGCGCGATGTCACCCAGTGGCCTCCTCAGCGAGTGTCCAATCCATCTCCACTTTCTCCTGCATATTTGTTGGGTGATTGGTTCTTGTTCTCTTTGTTCCCATAGTTTCTTGTCGTTGATTCTTTCTGGCCATCTGATCTTCAGTATAGAGAGAAGACAGTTGTTGATAAAGGTCTACAACAGGCTGTTGGAAATATTCTTTGTGACCCACCTTTTTTCTGATCCGTATAGAAGAACTGACTTAACGTTTGTATGAAAAATCCGAATTTTGTTGTTGATGGTGAGTGACGAAGATCCCCAGATTGGTTTCAGGTTGATGAATGTGTTTCTCGCCTTCCCGATTCTCGATTTGACATCCTCATCGTCCGTTCCTCCTGTAGTTGAAACAATGCTCCCTAGATAAGTGAATAAAGTAACCTCTTTCAAATCCCTCCCGTTGATGGTGATTGGCGCTGGATGATGCTGCTGCTGTTGTTGTAGTTGGTTGGGTGGTTATTTTCATAACCTCCGTCTTGTCTATGTTCACCTGGAGTCCTGTCTTCTCTGGCTGCTTCTTCGACCAGTTTGTCGGTTTTCGCTTGTAAGTCTTCGATTTTGTGTGACATCAAACATAAACGATCCACGCGCGAAATCTAGGTCTTCTAGGTTCTTCACGTCAGTCCAGGATATCCCTGTCTTCTCGTTTCCCACTGTCTGACGCATAATCCAGTCCACCACAATTAGGAATATCATTGGTGATAATAAGCACCCTTGTCTGACTCCTGTGTTTACTCCAAATGCCTCGCTGAGTTTTCCGTTGTGGATCACTTGATATGTGCCGTTGTCGTACAGCTGTTGAATAAGGTTGATGAATATTTGGGGTACGCCGTATATATATAGTAATAATTTTCGATAGTTGGTTTGTAAGGAATAATTTTGATTTTACAAGTTGATTGATATCAGTTAGAGAACCATTGAAAACCAGCCACAGGGAGTACTGGACGGCGTACTGCCAATGATTCTCAAACTAGGCTGACGAAACAGCTGTCTGGCAGTACTCCAGTGTTGGTTTTCAATGGTTCTCTAACTGATCCCAATCCCTGATCAATTCGTATAATATTAATAATAATTATTATTTTTTCATTTTATTTTACAGTCAATACAAGTTATTCTTCTAAATTGCGTAAGAAAATAAAAATATTATGCTATATTAATACACATCCAGAAAATTATTATAAAAAAGCAATTCATATACATAATACATGGGCTAAAAGATGTACTAAACACTTATTTATGAGTACAAAGTACGATCCAATTCTCCCTGTTGCTGGTAAGTTGTCAATTTTAATTATTATGATTATTATTATTGTGAAGAGTTGGTTTGTAAGGATTGTGTATACATTTCAAGTTTCGTAACCAGTGAGGATTCCGCAGGTCGCCTGGAGTATGACGGTAAATACTCATCGATGACATTGTCTGTTGGCGGATCCACTAAAATGCTGAATTCATAGAAGTTAGAATTCATCGTTTGACCACTGAAATTCCATTCCAATGACTCAATCGTCAACGGGCTTGACCTAGTAACCTGAAGGTCCCGGGTTTGATCCCGTGTGCATACTTCTGAAAAGTACCAAACTACAGTGAAATGGCTGTCGAGTACTCCCTGGTTTTAGCAGTTCTCTAACTGATATCAATCCGTAATGAAAATTATTATAATTGACATTAGCAACAGACTTTGGTAGAATACAGTTCCATCAGAGAATAAATTAAATTTGATAAAAGTACACAGCGATGCAGTATTATTTACTGATTATTATAGCTTTTCAGGATTTTATCATGAGCTAACATTGGTTAGAGAAACATTGGAAAACCACCTGGGAGTACTGGAAAGCTGTTTCGTCCTAGTTTGGGACTCTTCATCAGTACGCAACCACCGGGGTTCGAACCCAGGTCCTTCTGGTTACAAGGCTAGCGAGCTCGTATACCATTAAGCCATCGCGACCCGATCCAATGACCAGCCCATGAATTCTAACCTCTGCCAATTCACGATATAGCGCAACCGCTAGCCAATGTTTTCGGCGAGTATTTATCCTCACACCTGACCTGCTGCACCCTACTGGTCACGACTTCTCACTAGAACCCCAGGTAACTACCTACCTGAATAGGGAAAGTCGCTAGTGAGCATCTCATTGATATTCAAGTGTTTGTTTGTAGGGATTTGACTGAGTGGTTACAGGATTTCATCATGAGCTGACATCAGTTAGTGGCTTATTAGTCTACGAGCTTGCCTTGTAACCAGAAGGTCCTGGGTTCAAATCCCGGTGGGTGAGTACTCTTGAAGAGCAAGTCGCAGACTAGGGCGAAACAGCTGTCCAGTACTTCCAGATTTTCCAATGGTTCTCTAACTAATGTCAGTTCATGATGAAATCGTGTAACCACTCAGTCAAATCCCTACAAACCAACACTTGAATATTTCAGCTTTTATTTAACTGAAATCTTCCAGTCTACTTTCTGCTAAATTCATCTGTTTCCACACGTTGTTCTGGACACGCAAATTAGCCCTACTAAAAATGATTTTACATCATTGGAACTATAGGTTGTTTCACTTTATGAAACTCTGAATAGATTCTTGAGTTTGAACGAAATTCTGATATCGACAAACAGTCTTAACTCACTAAGTTCTGATGTACAGAGAACATGTCTTTTAATGAACAGATTACTATTTAACGATTGATAAAGACGAGAAAAGTTGAAGAATGTAAAACGAACCATTCATACATGTCTGGACACCATCTTATTGGATATCTTGAATCTAGGGGTTAATGCATTATTGTTTGTGTAGAGCTATTTTGCATTTTCACAATTGAACTGTATGTAGTGAAAAGCAATAGGTTGGCAGAAAAAACATCAAAGAAAGCAGGGACTTCAGGTGAACATAGAGAAAACAGAGGTGATGAAGATTCCTGGCTAACAGCAATAGCAACAACAACCACAACAGACAACAATCAGCAAAAATGGGAGAAATCTGAAAGAAGCAACCTCCTTCACCTACCGACCCGGGAAGCATCGTTTCAACTACAGTTGGATGGAACTGTTGAGGATATCAAAGTGAGGATCGGGAAAGCAAGGCAAGCTTTCATTACTCTCCAGTTTCTGTGGTAGTCAACAGCACTCAGTATGAAAATAAGATCCGGATTTTCAAACTCCGATGTGGAGTCAGTGCTACTGTAGGGATCAGAGACTTGGCGCGTCATAAAGTGCATCTCAAACAAACTACACACCTTCATCAACAGCTGCCTTTGCTCAATACTCAAGATCAGATGGCCGGCCAGAAAAGATTAGCGACAGAGATCTCTGGGAGTGAACCAACCAGGAACCGATTGTGAAATAAATGTGCAGGAAGAAATGGGGGTGAATTGGATTGGCTATACTCTAAGGAAACCATCAAGTGACATCACTAAACAAGCCATCGCTCGAGTGGAACCCGAAATGGAAGCGGCGAGTTGGTCGTCAGTGCAAGGGTGACTTGGATGGCGTCATGTGAGGAGGAGATGAAAACGTGTGGACAGACTTGGAACCAGATGAAGACTCTAGCAGAGAACCGAACGCAATGGAGACGCACGGCTGAAGCCATATGTTCCTCTAGGAATTAAAGGAAACGATAATAAATAATAATAAAGGTCAGCAAAACAATTAGCTGGTAGATATTAGCAATAAGATATCTATGTTTGGAAGAAAGGAGGTGTGAAGATTAATTACGGAATTCAAGATAATTTGATTCTTAGGTGTCAACAACAAGTTATTACACAATCAAGAAATTTGTAAAATAGCATTGATGACTAAGAAGAGTAGGATGACTCAATCAAATTATGCAAGATACGAACAAGTTAGCAGAATTAGCTAGAATTGTAAAAATTAACAAAGTTTAAAGATACTTACGCAATATATTTTAAGTTTTTAGAAAACGATCCCCCCCTCTTGTAATACACAACATGGTTGGTCATCTTGGTTTGTCAAAGGTCAGAATAAAGCTATAGGCAGCTCAGTGCTAGCTCATCTCGTCGATACTGGACATCAAGTCGACTCTAAAGAAGCTTTTAAAGTCATTTATTTTACTTCACTCATCCTCTCTTATGGTTTATGAGTAAGACTTTTACATACCGGAGAGGCAATGGGAAGACATTGGAACAAGCTAAATCTGTGAGTGTTCAAAAGGAATTTGTAGGGCCTCTTTCTTCGCCATGACCAACTAAATTATGTGTATTAAGTTCTTAAAAAACAATTTCCCCTCTAGCTGATTCTGTTAACTTGCTCGTATCTTACGTAATTCGATTGGGTCATCCTTTTCTTCTTAGTCATCATTGCTATTTTACAAATTTCTTGATTATGTAATAACTTGTCACTAACGCCTAAGAACCAACTAATCTTGAATTCCATAATTAATTTCGGCACCTCCTTCCTTCAAAACTTGGATGCCTTGTTACTGACATCTATCAGCCAATTGTTTCGATGACTTTTAACCTCTTAAGTTCATCCAACCCTCACCTGTATCTGAAACTGATTAGCTAAAATAACCACTTGACTGGTAAGAAATTTTGTTGTAAAAAACTAAATACTATTGTAGAGCTGTCTAATGACGAGGAAGTAAGTGAAAAGGAATGCATATTTCTTCATTCAATGTTTTTATTTGATAATTTTTCTCTTAGAGTTCATAAAATTTCATTGTGTTATCTAGTTAGCCATTATCCGTAAACGTGGAACCTTGCACTACAGTATCTATTACTCTAATACATACTTGTGAGAAAGTTTGGTGTAACATTCATTCACTCAAAATTAGAAAGTGAATCACTCGTGCATCAGTGAGATTCTTCAGGAAATAGTAAATTACCAGTCCTATGAATGCACTAATAGGCAGTAACCAGACTGGAACCTCCGCAGGTGAGTACTGATGGAGAGTCCCAAACTAGGACGAAACAGCTGGCTGTCCACTACTTCCAGGTAGATTTCCATTGGTTCTCTGTCTGACCTATATGAACTCATGATGAAATCCTGAAACCAATCAAATCAAATCCCTGTAAACCAACAATAGAAATCACAAGGTTTATCGCTTAGTGGAAGTAAATGAGAACTGCATCTTTAATCATCAAATCAGCACACAGTGCATGCAACACCGATATCGGATATTAGAAAAAAACAACTCCTCTAGACAAAAACCGAAAGTTAAAGACAGTGTCACTAACTTGAAATAGTTTTTAATAATAATCTGTGCTCGAAATATCATGTAATTAAGGCAACAGCATAGAATAGACACTACAGTCAAACGACCTTGAACCAACCAATCAGATCTTTCAGCACTACAAATAGATACTTTGACACAATGCTCATTACATGTTTCATCCTGATTCAGGGTTAAGGTTTGAGTAAGTTTAAGGTGGGGTTATGGTTAAGTTTAGAGTGAATCTTTCAACGAAGATTAGGGAAAGCATCGATTTGTAATGCTGAGCGATATGATTGGTTGGTTCAAGGTCGTTTGACTTTGGTGTGTCGGCCAAGTTAAACTTTAAGCACCACAAACTAACTACCAATGGAGTTCGACCGCACTGATGACCTTGAAACGCTCACGGGCAAATAATGCTGTCATCATAAATAAAATATCCTCCTCATCGAAGTATTATCCCATTAAGTGGGAAATCCCGCAAGTTTCAGCTTAGGTTTGGGAAGGAATAATTTACCCTTTAAGCCAAGGACAAGTAAGAGTTAGGTCACCTTTAAAGGCGACATTATGGTTGGTGCGAGTTAGATTACGGTTAGTTTAGGGATATTTCCACGTTAGGATTAGGTTCAGGAAAGATTAGGGTTATTGTAAGGGTTAGAAGACCTAAATAATTGCATGCATAAAATGCGGTTAAATTACTCTATTTGTATAAGAATAGAACTTGTGCACTGTGGTGGTAGAGTATAATTCCGTTGTGGGTAAAATTTATTTTGACAAAGTGTCACTGTGTTATACAGTAATATTTACTGATGATGACGTTTCGAGCACAATTTATTGCTCCGTGAATGTTACTGGATAACACTGTGAGACTTTATCAAAATAAATTTTACCCACAATGAAATTCTACTCCGTTGATACTCCAACCTGAAAGTGAGTTATTATTATCACATTTGAGAGCAAGGTATCCTCTGTAACACTTTTATGCAGTTTTTATGCAATGTTTTTTCATAAATATATGTATTTCATACACAGAAATACCTCCTTCATGTGATTGTTGCGTTGTTCGAGGTCAATCGCTAATTGGTAGTTAGTTAGTGGTGCTTAAAGTTTAACTT